ACTGCAAAGTCACATTGCAAAGATGTGGAAATAGGGAGGAGGGAAAACTTGTAAAGTTTTCACTGTGTGTGTGTGTGTGTGTGTGTGTGTGTATACATATGAAAACTAAGAGCATACATAATTATACATTCTGCATTTTAATCACCAGATATGTTTCATATCCAAGTTGATAATGCAACCTTGTGCATATATTGAGGAAGTTAAATAATTTTGTATGTGTGAAGTATCTCATCAGATATCAGGAACAGAAGAGGTATTTAGTCAATGGAAGTTACAAAAGGAAGAAGAAGGAAATGTAACTTTTTTAGGCAACTGTGCAAATTCCAGTAGTCCTCCTTCATGGTTGACTTTATTTCTCCTTTGATAGCCTCCAACATTCATTCTCCTGGTTGATGATACTCAGCTCTCATGTCACAGAAGAGCAACACCCCAAACTGCCTCTCACTGGCTCTCAGGTCTTGGGAAAGTCACTTGATTGCCCCATTATATCTTCCATTCAAAATAGCAACTACTTCATAGCATTACTAGAAGGATTTAAGTAGCTATTATATATGACATATGAAAACTCTGGATGTATCATTTCCCAGGAACTCATTATGCCTTTATGGAATTTTTGTAGCATTTTCTTAACATTTTCTTCATATTCCTAGCATCCCCAACTGGCTCTAGCATTTTTTAAGTGAAGTTTTTTTTTTTTTTTTTTTGTTGTTGTTGATGTTTTTTTCAAGCTACTGTTTGTTCATTTCTGCTTATCCCATGTTAAAGAAAATTTGACTTTCACAACCTTAGCCTGCACAGTGATCCTCAATATAACACTGCCATTCCATTAATCTGATGGATCCCCTTGCATAGCGTCTGTCTTCTCTGATCAGAAATGACATTCTTAACATCAATAGCTTTTAGGCTTTTCTGACAGGAAATATTTTTGAGGATGTATATAATCAGTTATGAGATATGCTTGTCAATAAATTTTTCCTGCAAAAATAAATCAGAAATCCTATCAAAATAGCATTAAGAAAGAATCCATTTTCCTTAGTACACTCCATGAAATGGTCATGCTTGAAGCTTATGAGAATTTTTATTTAGGTGAAGTTTATATATTTAATTTGTGTGCTGGCCATCTTTCTAGCCAGCCAATCTGAATAAATTTCATGATCTAAACAGGAAGAAAATGGTTGTGATCTGGAGTTAGCCTTTTCCTTATAAAGTTTGTCTCACCCTTCTTTTCCCTTGACTGACATCTTCCGCTTCTCAGACTCTATGAATTTCATCACAGACCTTTTTTCCTCCCTTTCCCTATTTATATACATGCTCAAGCCAAGAAAGAGGAATATTTTCCTAAAACTCTTCTCTGTCTTTGCCTTTTCTAGAAAGTGAATGACTGCAGTCTTTTCTCTTCCAGTTTGAAAATGCTTCTGTCGTGATATGTATTTCACTCATACATTCCCTCCATCACTCATTCATGTACCCATTGTTCATCTGGTAGCAGCGGTATAATAGACACTGTGCTGGATGTGCTGGTCAGAAGACAAGGTCTGATCCTCACCTGTGGATTTTATCTTGTTGTAAGAGGGACAGTAAATGGAAGGGTACTATGGCCAGGGTCTTAGGAGAGTTGTCAACAAAGGCTTCCTTTCTAGGTAGTATGGCCATGTACCCAAGTTGGACAAGAGCCACAGGCTTTTGGAGTAGATGTGGTAAAGAGCCAGGGGGCTGGGGGGCTGGGGATGCGGCTCAAATGTTAGTGCACTCACCTAGCATGCGTGGGGCACTGGGTTAGATTCTCAGCACCACATGAAATGAAATAAAGATATTGTGTCCACCTAAAAAAATAAATAAATACTTAAAAAAAAAGAGCAGGGGCTGGGATTGTTCCATCAGAATTGACTTGGGGCTGGATGGAGCCTTGTCATTGTGAAGTCAAGGTGCAGCACATACATGCCAGTTATTGCAGTACAGTAGGAAGAGTAGATTATTACTCCAGGGTTAAAAATAATACTTCAGATATGTTCTGCATTGAATTGAGGTATTTTATGTAGTTTATCCTGTTTTTTAAAGCAGAATTTTGATGTAAGTATCAATAGTCAAGTAACATCCCTAAGATCCATCAACTAGTAAGAATTAAGAATTTAGAATTCAAATCCAAACCACATTATCTTGTTTTGATTAAGCATTCCAGTTTTAATAAAATACGCACAGAAGAGCTAATATCATAGTAACATATAGTCATTTAATTTTGTAGCTTTGGTAGAGAGGGGTAACATCTGCAAAAATGTTCTACCAAGGTGAAGCCCTGATTGGCCCTAATACAAGTCACTGAGGGCTTCTGGGTGTGTGGCCACACAGGTTGTAAATGTGGCTTCCGAGAATTAGTTATAACCTGTACAACCTTAAGCAGCTGTCATGGACCCAATTTGGGGGTTATATAACTCTGTAGACTTTGCCTCCACTTTTATTAATTGTTATATCTGTGTAATTCTCTTACTTGAAAAGTTACATGCATTTAAAGGGAATGGGCAGGGAAATGAAGTAGGAAACTGGGTAATTATTTTAGCATGTATGTTATACTGTCATTGAATATTTAAGTAAAAATTTCTACTTCAAGTATAGTGCATTTGAATTATTATTTTTTGCTGCATTGAAATGATTATACACCTCAATTGTGTACAGTGGCACACATCTGTGGTCACAGCTACTTGGGAGGCTATGGTAAGAGGATCATAAGTTCTTGGAAACTTAGCAAACCTTGTCTTAAAATAAAAAGGGTTGGGGAGGTGGGCCAGAGTTGTAGCTCAGTGGTAGAGTGCTTGCCTAGCATATGTGAAGCACTGGATTTGACTCTCAGCACCATATATAAATAAATAAGTAGATAGATAGATAAATAAAGGTCCATCAACAACTATAAAAAAATGGGGAGTGCTGGGGAGGTAGCTTCAATCACCAGTACTACAAGAAAGAGAGAGAGAGAGAGAGAAAGAGAATGTTAAAAAGGGTTAGGGATTTAGCTCAATAGTATAGCACTTGCCTACTGTGTATGAGGCTCTGAATTCAATCCGCAGTAAATAAATAACTAAAAATAATAAAATGGAATTGATTGTAGCTTTGTGGTTAGAGCACTTTCCTAGCACGTGTGAAACCCTGGGTTCACACACCTAATGGCAGAAAATAATTTCCCAACTAGACCAGCAGTCATAGGGGAATGATTTCAAGGAAGAAAGTGTCCTTGTGGGAAACTAGATGGCTGAACTAATTCTACAAGTAGGAGACCCTTAGGAACATTTTTTTTTTTTTTTAATTTGGAGTCTGCCCTTTTATCCAAATCATGAGCATCTTTGTCCTCGGTTTTCTTACTCCAGGCCTTCATCTCCTACCCAGACTATTGCAGTGAGCAGCTCCAGTCCCTCTGTGATTCTGGGCACCACAGAATTCCCCTCTGAAATGAACCATGCTCCTGGAATCGCTAATTTTAGGGATGCAGCAAGATGATTCTGGAACAACTTCTCAGGCCAGATAGGAAGGAACTGCTTTAGAAAGATATGTTACAAGAACCAGCTTGAAGGGACTCTCATTGTCTACATCTGGGACAATTTGAGCAAGCACCAAACTAATAAGATGCAGTTGGAATTTTATGCATTTGGGGAGAAGGAACTAATCAGCTCTTACTGATTATGATTGACTGGATGGGTAGATGGATGCTGAGTGGGTGAATGTGGGTAGATGAGGGAGACTTCCATTTACAAATGCCAGACTAGTAAATGAGGAGGGAGTGCTGCATCAAAACAGTTAGCACACACTACCATCATAGTAATAAGTAAATGAGACTCATCTAAGTACATAGATGTATGAGGAACAGGATATTTTCATGGTAATGTGTTCCACTGATTGTTATTAGTGTGAGGAAAAAAATAGTAATTAAGCAGAGAAGTTTGACTGCACTTTGATCAGGATCAAAATTAACATTACCATTGAGTGACCTGTGAACTTGTATTTCCAGATGAAATATCCCAAGAAAGACAAATATCACCATCTGTAATCTGAGTCTAATCATGGGGAAACATCAGACAAATACTCAATTGATAAGCAGGGGAAGGAGGAATTATATCTTTCCAAAGTATCACTAGTATAAAAAAACAAAGGACTATGAAAATAGTCCAGGTTAAATGGAGCTAAAGAAATGTAGCAATTGCTTTGCATAATGGTTCATTATGCTATAATCTTTGAGACTTGGGAGGCTGAGGCAAGAGAATTGCAAGTTGGAGGCCAGCCTCAGCAGTTTCAAAAGACCAAGTCTCAAAATCAAAAAGGGATAGAAATATAACTCTGTGGTAAAGCATTCCTGGGTTCAATCTGTGGTACCCTACCCTACCCATGACACACACAAAGAAGAGATATGGCAACTAATGCCATATGTAACTGGACTAGATGTTGTATTTGGAAGTTTGGGTTAGGGAGAGGAATACCACAAGGGTCATTATTGGCTCAGTTGATTGATGGGAGCACTGGTGATAGATACATATTTCCTGAAGTTGATAACTGTACTAGAGCTGTGGTTATGTCAGAGAATATCCTTGTTCTTAGAAAATAAACACCAAGTGTTTAGGTGGTAAGTCCCACAATATAGGTAGCTTACAAATGATAAAAGAGAAACATGCTAGGCATATACATAAAAAAACTGGCCCTTATTTCCTGTATATAATAAGCACATACGTGTGCGCACATGCGCACACACAAACACATGAAAGAATATACAAGCAATAAATCAAACGTTAAGATATTAATGATAGTAATAAATAACCAACACTAGATGAGTCTGGGTAAAGGTTCAAATGTGAGTGGTGTTTGTACTATTTAGAGTATTGCATCTTGCTTTAAGTTTGAAATGATTCTCTAATCCTAAATTTTAAAAATCTAAAAAACCTTGGCCAAATCAGTTATTGTTTTCTTAATAAGTGTTTCTTTTATTTGTGTCCTTTCTTTTCTTCCTTCTTTCCATCTCTCAGAAGTCCAAGGCTTGCGAGAAGGCCATCTCTGTGGGTCAGACGGTCATCACGAAGCACCGCAATACACGGTATTATAGCTGCAGGGTGATGGCTGTAACATCACAAACCTTCTACGAGGTCATGTTTGATGATGGCTCCTTTAGCAGAGACACGTTTCCTGAGGACATCGTGGTGAGTAGGCTTCTGTGGTGTCTGCTTCCCAGTGGACCTCATGTAAGCCCATAGAAGCTGAACCTTGAGAAGTTTCCTTGACTTTTTGAGTAGCACATACCCTTAATAGTCGTTGCTTTCATCGTTCTAAATAGAGCCAGGTGAATTTAGATTGATTTCCCCAAATTCTTTTAATTGAAAAGTAGTATTTGATCAGGAAATGCCTCAGTCTGTTTGTGCTGTTACAAGAAAATACACCTGAGACAGGTAATTTGTAAATAGCAGGAATTTATTTCTTACTGTTTTAAAGTCTGGGCAATCACAGTCCTAGATTAAAGGTCTGACATTTTGACCTCCTTGCTATGTCCTTACATAGTTCAAGGCAGAGGACAAACTAGCTATGCTGTGTGGAGCCTCTTTTAAAGGGCCTTAATCTCATTAACTGGGAGCAGCACTCATGGCCTGGTCACTTCTGAAAGGCCCACCTCTATTTTAATACTCTACTCTTACATTGATGACACCTAAATTTTGGAGACATAATCAAACCATAGCAGATTTGAATCTACCTCTGTTCTGTTACAAAGTGTCTGCACATCAGAATTCCTTTGTGATATATTTTACTTTATTGCTGAATTGGAGAACATGACATTTATTTATTTATTTTTGATAATAGCAGTTGTGGTTTTATTGTGTCCAACATACCAATAAATGAACTTTGAGCCTGAGCCTTTAGATGCCTGCTCCTTGCCCAGCCCTAGGCATCTGCCCCTGCTCACTGCTCCCATTCTGTGGAGAAGGGGCATACTGGAGGTCACCTGGCCGTAGTGTCTCACCTGTTAGGGGTGTACACCAGAAGCACGAAGAGTGCACTGGAAGGTTGGAGGTTTTATGCTCACTTGATAGCACATCTGCATGACTAACCATGCTCCAGAGCCCCAAAGGAAGGCCTGGGGGCTCCTAATCAGCTGCTTAGTGATGTTCCTGATTCTGTTCAGACATCTCAGGTAATAAGGGCTAGAGGAGCACCTTGTCCGGCCTTCACTATGGCAGCAGGCATATAAATATAGGTGATACAAATAGTCCAGCTACTAGATGAAAACATCCAGAGGAAGGAGTGAAATCCAGCCCTGAAGGGCACATGGGTAGATTGGGCATGAGTGGCCACACTGGCAAGTGACAGAGTGGCAAGTGTACTTCCTTCTTCTGGTGGTTGGAGGGAGAGATGTGTTTAGCCTCAAGGCTGGCAGGTATAGCACATTGAAAAGGGAGAAGCAAGGGGGCCAGTCACAGGTGGCTCAAGCCCTTGGCTTTAGAAGGTCATCCAATTGGAAAGGATCTAGATTATCTAAGCAGCTCCTGTCAACTTAGAGATGAGAAAACCAATGCCTAAAGGGGAATGACCTTGCTGGGTCACAGTCAGCTTGTTGCTTGGCCCAGTCATCTCTCCATTCCCTAACCAACGAGACCCATCTGCTTAGGGAAGAGGATGTGAAACAGTTGGGAGCAGGGGAAGAGTTCATATAGAAAATGATACTCCTAGGTGCCTAGCCCCTTTCAGCTAAGAATAGGCTAGGAAAAAGGTCTAGTGAGGGATGGGTCTTCTCCTAATGCTAACACGAGTGAGCACATGTGCGCCACACATACAATACCTGGATACCCATTCTCAAGTTCAGGCTAGTGCCGAGAGAGAGAGAGAGAGAGAGAGAGAGAGAGAGTGTGTGTGTGTGTGTGTGAGTGTGTGAGACTGGTAGGAAGCTCAGAAAGTTGGGGCACCTATAATAAAACCCAAATCCTAAATTAGGCACTTTCAGCATGATAGCTCTGCTTCCTGTCCAGGGCAGATATAAGGGATGCTGACCCACAAATCTAGGCAACAGTGGAAAAAATTTGATGTAAGTTGGGAGGTAAGGCAGGGAGAGTATGGGAAGAGGGCACTAATCAAAATTGTCTGCATTTCTCAAAGTTGAAAGAGAAAAGTGGCATGGGCCTAAGAAAACCCAGATGCCTGACCTAGTGGTGTGCTCCCAACTGATGACCAGCAAGGACAGATTGCCTATGTACCCCCCTTGCCCTCAACCCATCCTCTAGAGCTCCAGAAGCTAGAGAGTTGGGAGAGTGAAGAAGGAATGGTAGCTCTTCAGCCATCCAAGGATCCACTGCCTTTGTTCTTGCTGCTGAGGGGGAAGGCATACTTGCTCTGGAGCTGGGTCATCTTGCTGGCCAGGTAGACAAAGGGCTCCAGAAGGGAGTGGTGGTCAGCTACTGTTACCTTCCACAACTCCAACTACTCTGACTTGGCTCAATGCTGAGCCATATCTGGGTCTACACACCGCTGTTCCTGTAAGTCACACATGTTGCCCAGGACCATAGTGGTGACCTCCGTCTTATCCTTAGATTTGTCAGTCTCCTTCTTAGCTCCACATGTTGAAAGGACTCTCAGCCATCTGTGCTGTAGACCAGGATGTGGCCATCAGTGCAGGAGAAGCAGGGCTGTGGCAGCTTGGCCCCATTTTGAAGCCCCTGGGTATTATAGGAATGCACCTGCTCCAGCACTTCCCGGTCTATCTCAGTAGGTTTCAGTCATCTCAGAACCCACTACATGATTCCCATATAGGAGCTGTTCTAGGATTGAAGTTTTACCCTCAGATACCTGATCACACATGACACCTTGCAGCTCTTCTCCACCTTGCAGCTCTTCCCCATGCTTAGCTTTCAAACTCCCAGGGCTCCCACAGAATCCTTACCAGGCCCCTCCCAGTGGGCCGAAACCAGAGCAGTTGCACTGCCATAGACTTCCCTCTTCCACCGCTTATTTATTTATTTATTTTTCATATTTTAATAACTTATACATGATAGTAGAATGCATTTATGTACTTTGGTATATCATACATAGGTGGGATATAATTCTCATTTTTCTGATTGTACATGTTGTAGAATCACATTGGTCTTGCAGTCATCTATGTACATAAGGTAATAATATCTGTTTCATTCTACTATCCTTCCTACCCCCATATCTTTCCCTTCCTCTCCCCTCCATTCACTCCCCTCTCTCTAATCTAAGATAACTCTATTATCGCCCCCACCCTCACCCATCTTATTGTGAATTAGCATCCGCATATCATAGAAAACATTCGGCCTTTGGTTTTTTGGGATTGGCTTATTTCTCTTAGTGCGATTTTTCTCCAACTCCATCCATTTACCAGCAAATGCCATAATTTCATTCTTCTTTAAAGCTGAATAATATTCCATTGAATATACGTATACCACATTTTCTTTATCCATCCATCTGTTGAAGGGCACATAGTTTAGCTCCACAGCTTAGGTATTGTGAATGGAGCTGCTATAAACATTGATGTGGCTGTGTCACTGTAGTATGCTGGTTTTAAGTCCTTTGGGTATAAACCAAGGAGTGGGATAGCTGGGTCAAATGGTGATTCCATTCCAAGTTTTCTGAGGAATCTCCATACTGCTTTACATAGTGGTTGCAACCAGCAATGTATGAAAACATGGCATTTATTAATCTGACTTGACAATGTATTTAGATTTTTGGATGTTTCAACTGGGAACTAAAATCACCACACAGAAAAAAGACTGGCTTTTCTGGATTTTTTAAACTGTAGCCCTTGTCTGTAGTGTGTGTGTGTGTGTGTGTGTGTGTGTGTGTGTGTGTTTCCATCTGTCTGTCTTCTCCTTCCTCTGTCTCCTCAGAGAACATCTTGGGCTCATTTAGAGGAACTAGTGAATATGTCAGGGCTAATGACCACTTTTGTTTCAGACATGCTTTTCAGTAGCGTTTCACAAAACAAGCACTTTCCACAGAGGGCCTTTTGACACAGAGATCAGTTCCCATAGCAGAGATCAGAGGTGGTCAGTCTGGAGGTGATCCTGTTAGCTCCTCTCCTTGGGGAGCCAATCTGAAGTAATATTTTTGTCACTTCTGCCTTCTCCTGAGTTTCTGTAGATGCTTTGCTTTTTGTTTGTACTTGGAGAGACATTTCTTAATGACTCTTTAATAATAATAATTATGTATTGTTTACAGTTGTAAATTAAGTATAACCTTATGAGATTGCTCATAAATATTTCTAGGATTTTGATGTCTGATGCTGAAGAAACACTAATTTGGTCAGCTATATTCTTTTACCTCTGTAACAAGTATGGAAACAAATGTGACCTGCACACAAGAGGGAGGGCAGTCTACTTTTCTCAGTCTTAACCGTTTTAATGATAAACACTTTATTCTGGGTGTTTCTGGGTAAGTTTACAAAATAATATCTCAAATATCTGTGTACTTTCTGTCACAGTCAAGTTGACGTAAAATTATAAATCATAAATATATTGTCCCACAGCACTGGATTTGTAGATTTCAGACGACTCTGCCATAAGCTCTGACTCTGTGGCAGAGTGTTGTTTTCTTTTCTGTAAAGCAGCCATATTGTGCTAGTCCACCATTAGTAATGCAGTTTATCTTCTGTCTCAGTGTCTTAACGATCAAGGCAGAATAATTATTTCCTGGAAACACTAACTATATTTCACATTCCTCAAAGAAATCTTTTCTTCATTAGAAAATATACCAATGGCATCAGAAACTTGTGGCAAAAAATATTTTCCTCTGTCTGAAAATTCTAATCCATGCAGTGTGCTTATCAGGTGTGAATGTTGCTGAGAAGACAGTCATCACAGTGGTGGGACACAGTGTTTCTGGCTGTTGAAGATCTAGTTTCTCTATGCCTCTGGTGCTTGTTATCTAGGACTGCTGTAAGGCTACAGTGCAATTTCAGTTTTTTAACTATGAAAATCAAATTTAGGATATCAAGTTTAATCATTCCAAGCTATTTATTTATGTATGATATAAATATAGTCCCTTATAAAGCCTCATGCTTTAGTTAAAAAAAAAAAAAAAAAGTAACATTCCCTTAGAGTCAGTGATTACAAATCATTTTAATGCAGCTGATCTATCCATATTTGAGAGTAAATTTGGCAGTCATTAAAATGCTTATGTTGGGATTATGTGACTATAGAGG